TTTTTTACAAAGTCTGGGATGCTATCACCAAGGTATCAGCTGTTCTCTTTCAGCTTTATGCCATCAGAAAGCCAGGTAAATGTAACTTCCTCAATTTGGTGCCTTGTCTAATGGTCGACCTGGATAGCGCTTACACTCCAACTCCCCGGGAATTTTTCTGATGAACGTTCTTTGTATAATTCAGTTTGGGAACAACCCCCCTTACTATATTGTCAGGGATCCACACATTTCTAGCATCTCCACTAGATATCTTGGGGGATTTTGGTCAAACACTTTACTGATGTGCTGCCTACAGCTGTCCCTGAGCCAGAATATGAGCTTGGCATCAACGCCAAGAGAGGAAGGAGCTCAGTTTGGCTTGATTCAGTCTTAGTGGCCTTCCTACCAGCTTCCTTTCTGAAGATACCTTGTCTATTGTGTTGAAAAATTGTTCTTTAGAACCTACATATTTTGGGGCAGAAGGAACCTTGGAGGCGATTCAAAATTAATTCTCATTTTTGCAGATGAGGAAACCAATGCCCAGAGGGCTTAACTGGCACTCCCAAAGTCACAGAGTTCATTTAGGAGGAAGAGCAAGGATTGGATCCTAAGTTCAAAGCTCTTTCTTTAACAGTATCACATCATCACACCTTTCTCTAAGTGCTCACGGGCACGCTCGGGCACACACACACACACACACACACACCACTTCCATCAGGACTCTTGTCCACCAAGACAAAAAACTGAGACATTATCTTTTTGGGGGTTCAGTGGGGGCCCCACAACAGGCCACCTTCTCTTCCTGAGTGGAAGATGGAGGCCCAGATCCCTCCATGAGATTCATTCTCCAATAGGGGAGCTTTGGGCTCCCCCAGTCTGGATTGATCTTGGGAATCCTGTCTGCCTTAAGGAGATGACTGTCTCTGTGCCTCATTTGAGCCTGTGGGTGCCTAGCATTGGCTCCCTTTGTGGGCATGGAAGCTGGACTATGGCCTCTAAGTAGCAGGTGGAGGTGGAGACTTCCCCAGAGAACAATGGGCTCCTTGCCTAGTGGTCTGTGGACAATGGAGGCTTGCTGAGCACTGTGCGAGGAGCAGAGCCCCTGGACTTGCTGCCCAAGAGCCTTGCATCGTGAGGATATGAGCCCTGCCATGGAAGAAGGCAGAGCCCTGTGGCTGGTCCAGGGAAGGGCAAATTAGGTCGCTCAATGTGGGAGAACTACGGCAAAAGAGGTGTGCCTGCAGAGAGGGGGCCCAGCGGGGAGAACCCTGGTACCCTGGACAGTGCCCAAAGGCAGGGCCCCTTCACCACCCTCCCCACCCCCCTAGGAGGCCCTGGGTACCTGTTTATTCTTTAGGTCAAGGGAGAGTTCGTAATCGGAGGCAGCAGGGGCGTGGGAGCATAGCGCCGTCGCCAGGGCAGGCTGCTGCCGGCCGGGGGAGGCCACGTGCTGGGGGCCAGCCCTTGGGGAGGCAGCCCCCGCCCCCGACCGCTCCTCCTCCTCCTGCAGCTCCTGGGCTTGAGCCTTCGGGGCATGGGCACTGGGTCTGCCGGCTGCCACCGCCGCCACTGCCACCACGGAGTCCTCCATGCCCCCACTGGCCTGGGTGCAGGAGCCGTCACTGCGAACAAAAGGCAACGGTGCTCGGTTGGGGGAGAGGGCGACAGGGTGCGTGTGGATGTGGGGTTGGGGGAGAGAAGCTGGGCACTCTGGCCTGGTTTTCTGGTGGCAGGGACTGGAGGGGGTGTCTTCAGTCTCCTCTAGGGAGGGGCTATCATGGCAGGGCGAGTCCCGGGCAAGGAGAAGAGCCTGAAGCTGGGGAGCATCTCAGACGGAGGGAAGGGGCAGCTATGGCCAGGGCTCAAGAACCTCCGCTTAGAAGCAGTACAGTAGAGCAGCGCATCTGGGCTCTGTCTATTAGCTGTGTGACTCTGAGCAGGTCACTCAGCCTGATTGCACCTCTGTTTCCCCATCTATAAAATGGGCACAGTAACAGTACCTACCTGATAGGGATCCTGGAAGGCTTAAGTCACTTAAAACTCTTTAAGCTGCTCCTGGCTCATGACAACTGCTACATGTGTTACCTATTGTAATTATCAGTGGCTTGGCTCGTTAGGCACAGGATCAGGTGGCTGGGGAAGCTGAGCCACACTGAGCCAGCTCATCTTTAGACTGAATGAGTCTGGAGGAGGGAGGGTGCCTGGCCTGGCTTGGGCATAAGCCCTTCCAGGGGGGTGGGCTTCCTGCCCTGCTGTGTTTAGAAAACACCTTCCTCCCTGGCCCCTCCTCTGCTCCCAGGGAGCCACAGCAGGCTGAGCCACCTCTGCAGGCCTCCTGCCTGCTCCAAGAAAACACCTCGCTGCCTGGAGCAGCCATGCTCCAGCCTGCCCTGCGGAATTGGTTCCCTCAGGTTGCACTAGCCTTCAAGTTCTGCCCCTCCCTTGAGGCCCAGTGCTGAGCCACCTCCTCCAGGAGGCCTTCCTGGTGACTGCAGCTTTCACTGCGCTGTCTCCTAGAACACTAGGAGCTGTCCTTAGAGAGTCACTGTCTATTTCGCAGAGGAGGAGAGTCATCGTGGTTAACAGCACGGGCTCAAATCCAAGCTCTATCACTGTGTGGCTTTCGGCAGCTGGCTTTTCCTCTGAGCCTTGGTTCCTTTGTCTGTATAATGGAGGTCCTAGTTCCTACCTCAGGGGGTTACAGTGAGGAAGAAAGGAGGCAGCAGAGATCAAGTGCTTAGCACAGAGTATGTGCTCAGTAAATAAACTCTTTTTTTTTTTTTTTTGAGACAGAGTTTCACTTTTGTTGCCCAGACTGGAGTGCAATGGCACGATCTCAGCTCACAGCAACCTCCGCCTCCCGTTCAAGCCATTCTCCTGCCTCAGCCTCCCTAGTAGCTGGGATTACAGGCACCTGCCACCATGCCTGGCTAGTTTTTTGTATTTTTAGCAGAGACAGGGTTTCACCGTGTTGGCCAGGCTGGTCTTGAACTCCTGATCTCAGGTGATCCACCGGCCTCAGCCTCCCAAAGTGCTGGGATTATAGGCGTGAGCCACTGTACCCTGCCCAGTAAATAAACTCTTATTTCCCCACCCATCCCTTCCTAGAAGCCAGGGCCTATGTGTTATTTGATTGTGTCCTACGCCCGCTTCATGCTGGGCAGATGCTGAGTGCTTAGTCAACACTTGTTGATGGGTGAACTGAGGGGAACCCAGGAGCCACAGGGATGTCCTTTACAGAAGACAGTGACAGAAAGTCAGGACTGGAAGGCACCTCAAGGTCATCTAATGGTGGGATGGCCCTGGTGCAGGACAGCTGTGACCTAAGGACTGATTTCTTCCACGATTGTACCACCATGAAAGATGGGCCAAATCACACCAGAGGAGAGACCTCTTCCTGCAGCTTCCACTGGACCTCAGGGTGCAGAGAAAGGTTCCTCCTGGTGCTTCCTCCCAGCCAAGAGGTGGGTGGAGAATCTCCCTTCTGTCAATCTCCACCTGTCCTCCCAGCACTCCCCTGCACCTCTGACAGATAAAGGAGTGCTCGCTGGGTGGCCCTGGCCGTGGGGAACCCTCATTGCTGCTGCCTCTTTCTATGTCCACCATTTCTCCTACCACCACCAATTAAGCTGCATGGCTCAGTGTAGCTCCAGATACCTTTTTAAAAATATATTATTTATTTACTTTTGAGACAGGGTCTTACCCTGTCACCCAGGCTGGAGTGCAGTGGCTCAATCACAGCTCACTGCAGCCTTAACCTCCTGGGCTCAAGCGATCTTCTCACCTCAGCCTACTGAGTAGCTGGGACTACGGTCCACACCACCGTACCGGGCTAAATTGTTGATTGTTTTGTAGAGACAGGGTCCCACCAGCCCAGTCTAGTCTTGAACTCCTGGGCTCAAATGGTTGTCTGGTCTCAGCCTCCCGAAGTGCTGGGTTTGCAGTCCTTAACCAGCGTGCACAGCCTCTAGACATCTTTATGTTTTCACCGTGTCACTGGGAAGTTCTTTTTAAGCACTAAATTCAACCCCTCTTCCTATATTAGCTGACTTCTCTTCCACTGGAGCATGTGGAAATAGCCCCTTCCCACCACAGCACAGCCTGTGCCCAGAGCCTGCAGGGCAGCGTGCCGTGTTACACATCTGTCCTCCAAACTGTCCTTGGCACCGATGCCCAGGATCTCTCTACCCTAAAGGTTTTCAAGAGTCTTTAGGGAACTGGTGGCTCCTCAAGGGTCCAGACACCTTTAATACCAGCCCTTTGCTTTCTTTGATTGCCAGAGTGTGCTTGGCAAGAGGTGCTGGGGAGCCAGTGTCCCTTGATGGCAACACTCGGCCAATGACAATGGGGTTGCTGCATGAATACCCCAGCTTCCCTGTCCCTTGCATGGGACAGCTCTGAGGCACATCCTATACCCTCTCCCTAAGTCCCCAGTGGGATCAAGCCCCAGTAGCCCAAAGCAGTAACTTGCTCATGAATGAACCCTGCCATGGCTTTATTCTCTTCTATGTTTCACTTCCCCACTCCTCTATGGCCCCTTCCTGGGGTCACCTTGTCCAAAATAAACTACTTGTGTTAAAACAAAACAAAATTTTAAAAATAGCTTGTTGTGGGCTTTTGTTCATGGGCCACCCCTCACACACACACACGCACACACATTCTCTCTCACATACACTTAGGTACACACACACTCATGCACACACAATACTTCTGTGGCTTTGGGCAATTTATGTCCTCCTCCTGGGCCAGTTTCCTCATCTGTCCCATGGAGGGAGCTTACTCTTCTCTAGGGACCCTTCCTGCTTAGACACTCTAAGAACTTGAATCCCAGTGCAGAGGCTGGTCTGCCAAGGCCCACTGGCCCAGGCTCCAGGCTCTCTGGCTGGTGGACCCAGCTCCACCTTGTCCATCTCTGTGCTCGGGGACCTGAGGGACTGGGGCCCTCCCAGGTATATGATGAAAAAGTGTTGGAAAGGAAACCCCTATCCTTGCCTTCTTCCCCTAGACTTACCTATAAGACCGTGGGGTGGAAGGTGGCCACAAAAGCCCTGGACTGTTCTCAGTGTGGCAACGTTAAAGGTCACATAGTGGAGGCCAAAGAACATACATGGCTTTGGTGTCAGGGAGACCCGGGTTAGAATCCTGGCTTTGCTACTTACTATGCCACTTGGGCAAGTCATTGAATGCGTTTGTGGCTCTATTTCCTCATCTGCAAAACAGTCCTAACAACTTTGCAGGGTTACTGTCAGAAAAGAAATAAAGCATGCACAGCACCTAGGACAGCGCCTGGCACACAGTTGTCCTTAATACAGGGTGACAGTGATAGTGGCCATTTTCTCAGCTAGAATCCTATGGCATGGAGTCCGAAAGAAATCCCCAGGAAAATGTCATGAAGAATTCTGTAGCGGGGGAGGTGTTCTCAACATTTAGCCCCCTTGTCAACCTTCAAGGAACTGAAACAGCAGGGTTTCCCCACCGTTCCCCGTGGCCTTCCCCAGCCTTCCAGATGGATGGGCTTTCTGGAGGCTTCCTCCCACCCCGTTTCAGCCACTGGAGCAGCAAACAGCGAAGGGGCCTTGGTCTTGGGTGTCGCCAACACAGGGGACCCATGTCCCCTGGGGAATCTGTGTGCAGTTGCCACCTATAGGCAGGCCCCTTGGCTGTACCCAACATGATGGGGGATTCCTGGGTGGGCATTTGTCCAGTGCCCATCATGTGGATTTGGGCTTTGGTGCTTTGCCAGGGCACAGCAGAGGCCCGAGTCCTTACACCCTCTCTTTGGTGGCTGAGCATCAACAGCATGTCCTCAGCCTCTGTTTTCCTCTTTGCACTCCATCTATAGAAAAGGTCTGAGGAAGAGGTTGGAATTTTCATCTTAAGCTGTCATAGCTGGAAGGACCATCTGTTTAACTTGAAGGGCATCTACTTCCAGTCTCTTATGGAACTGGAAACCCATTGCTCTAGCTCCCAGAACATCTCTCCTCTCCTTCCAAGACACAGGCAGTGTCTCTTCAGCTTCCACAGTTTGCAGCTGCCATCCCTAGTGGGTCAGATTTCAGGCAGCCTAGCCCTTGCACCGGAAGGAAGTATGTGGATGGGATTCTCTCTGGGACCTGAACAGCTTCTTATAATGCCCTCCCAGAGCACTGGAGGGGGATCCTGGAGATCTCCACTCTCTTAGGCTCCTCACCCTGCGGCAGAAACATTCCTTGAGTGGCAGTGCACTAGCCAGGAGAAAAAGTGGGGTCACTACTGGTATACGAGTGACGCTGGTCACAGGGTTACTCCCTGGGTTGGGACACCCATTTGAGAAGCTGAAAGTAGAATGTGAGTGGCACCAAGATGAAGGGGTCCTGAGAAAGCTTTGATACGTTCACATGACATTAAGCTGATACACACAGGGCCAGGGCCAGTGCATCAGGAGTCACTCCATGCATGAGAGCAGGATTTGAGTATGGGAAGTGAGTGTCTTTGAGAAATTAGGGAAATAAGCCATTGCTCATTCTCAGAGGAATATTGCATGTGCCCAAGAGCAGAATTAACATCACATTCGAGGGTCACTCAAAGGGAAGCTGGCTTGTGCTTAGGGGAACGCTCGGCTCCAGCTGTGCATGCCTGGTCC